AATCAGCTTAACTTTAAAAAACAACTTTTCTGGTACACTAGTATAGAACCCAGGATCTTTTCACTGAGCTGTATCCCCAGACCTTTTTTAAAAAAAAATGAGACAAGAACTAAGTTGGTTAAACTGTCCAAGCTGGGTTAACCTTGTGATCCTCTTGCCTCAGCCTCCTACAGTCCCAGGATTACAGACATATGTTATCATGTCTGGCGGCAAAAAGCAACACTTTAAAGGATTTCAACATACATTAGGTCTTATTCTGAAAAAGACAGCATTAAAGAAATATTTATTAAAGTAAATGTCCCGGGGCCGGGGAGATGGCTCAGTGGAATAAGCACTTTCCTGGCAAGCACAAGGGCCTGAGTTCAATCCCCGGTTCCACCAAAAAAAAAAAAAAAAAAAAAAAAAAAGTAAATGTTCCCATCACACCCTTCAGACAGATCACTGATCTTTCAAACCTAGCTTCTTGGTGAGACCATGGGTGCATTCTGAGCAGGCCTCACTGTACAGAGCAGCACAGGCCTTCTTCTCTGATGAGACCCAAGCTGATTATAGACCTCAGGAGGGAGATGACCAGTGTCCCCCACTTTTGATTATGGGTCCCCTGCTCTCTGCTGAGAACACGCTATGGAAGGGCAGAGGCACTGCTAGCTGAAGATGGCCTATAACCAGCAGCTGCTGCTCAGCTCCAGTAGCCAGATGGAATTGCAAAGTATCACAAACACTAATTTACAAGGGTTTGCTATCGGAAAAATGCCAACTGACTACTTAGCTTTCTCAAATCCTTTTTGGGAATGAAGCCAGAGCACAACTTTCACTGTTTTTCTAAAATAAAAAAAGGGATTAAAACCTATGGACTAACATTCAAACACCCTTCTGTAATGTGAAGCTGCTCTCAAGAATAAAGGCAGTCTAGTAGAAAGAAGGCTGAAATAGATGGGCTGATTGCTCCACTCTGACATATAACTGTTCACAGAGAAACAGCGTTAGTAGCACAAAGTAAAAACCACTGCAACACAAACTCAGACCCACAGAGATTCAAATAACCTCTCTTCTAAGACAGGTGTGTGAAGACGAAGGCGAGAGCAGAGTCCAGGCTGGAAAAATGTGCTGCTGAGGGAGGGGCAGGTCATGCAGGCAGAGAGAGGCTCAGCAGCCACCTGCAGCCAGGGCCAGGCCCGAAAATGCTGAGACTGCTGCTACGTTAATTTATGAAATCTTGGTAATGGCTCAGGAAGACACAAAGGCATTTTTTTTTTATTTCAAAAGAATGTGATACTGAATTTGGCTGCCAGGGATGCTGGATACCACACTTCAGCCTGGTAGCACATGCTTACAATCCCAGCATATGGTACATGTATGCATGGTATTTTATTTATATGTACAAATTAAACAAAATGTCAAGCTGTGCCACTCAAGCCCAATTTCCACTAAAAAGTAATCAGCATATGCTCAGAGTATCATTCTAGGAAAAAAAGAACATTACAAAATACTAAGGAGAACTTTAGATGATAAAGTCACACAGAGAATTAAAATAATTAGAGCAAAGGTCACCATCACTTAATGCACTAGATGCCGCCCACATCCCCAGAGGGTGGACAGACAGCAAAGCCAGGCTGCAGGTGCCACCAGCTCTGTGGCCGTGGAACACCAGCCCGCAGCAAAGAGACAAAAGGAGCACAGCTCTGTGCCCATAAAGCTTTACTTAAAAAACCTGGCAACAGGGCTTGTGGTCACAGCCTCCTCATGCCTAGTTTACAATGTTAAAAAGCTTACTTATGCAAACTCTTCAATTGTGACGTGGTGATATCACATCTTTCTTCTGATAAAAAAACAAAAAACAAAAAACAAACCACTGGATTTTAAGAAAAATGATGTATGTGATCCACAGACAAGATGACAGAATCTGAACTATTTGGAAACCTAGCAGGGATTGATTCTGGACAAATAAATATTACCTCCTAGATTTGCAAGATTTCTAGCACATCATGACCTCAGAAGGATAGTTAGGCTCACAGGTCAACACATGAAATATTAGCAGACTGTCACCATGTTTCTTTCTTTTTTTTTCTTTTTTGCCGGAACTGGGGATTGAACTCAGGCCCTTGCGCTTGCCAGGGAAGCGCTTATTCCACTGAGCCATCTCCCCGGCCCCTCCACACGTTTTAAACTGTACTCGGAGAGCTTCTCTGCAGCTCACAAAGCAGCTCTGCGCATGGGATTGTGTTGCCTGCAGGACAATACCAGGCCAGGCCTGCAGGACAGAAGGGAAAGCCTGTGGATATCTGCTGCCCACCTCAGCCTCACCCCTGGAGGAAGGGGGGCCTGTGAAGTTCCTCAGATAACAGAGGAAGGTATCTCTGACGTGAAGTCTCCATAGCTGTGATCCGGGCTGCTACTGCACATGTCTGAGTGAGTTTCCAAAGTCAGAGCTGCCCCCCCCTCCCTCCCACCCCTCCCCTCCTCCTCCTCCCAGGGTGTCCCACATGTGAGAGAAGGGCCCAACACCTCATCCTCACGTCCTACTGCTGTCTGTAACTGACAATGAACTGGTACGTGGCACTGGAATGACGGTGTTCCCAGGCCTTAGGAAAGTGGTCAAGGACGCTTCCTGCTATACTACGTGAATTTGGGTTTCTGACAATACCATTTTTTATACTGAAAGTCCCAGATTTGATCTAAAAAACCACTCATTTAAGATTTTTAATTTCTTATTAAAAATCTTATGCAGCCTGGTAGCACATGCTTACAATCCCAGCATATCAGGAGAAAGAGGCAGGATGATCATGAGCTCAAGCCTAGCCAGGGCAACTTGGCAACTTAACAAGACTCTATCTCTTAGGAATCAATCTAATGAAGGAAGCAAAGGTCTATACAGTGAAGACTACAGTACTCTGAAAAAAGAGATGGAAGAGAATTTCAGAAAATGGAAAGATATTCCTTGCTTGTGGATAGGAAGAACCAACATCGTAAAAATAGCCATATTCCCAAAACTGTTATACAGGTTCAATGCAATTTCTGGAAAAATACCCAGGAGGGGAACAGCTGGGTTGAATGTGATCTCTAATCCTAGTTTTTTGAGGAATCTCACTGATTTCCACAGTGGATGTACCAGTCTGCACTCCTACCCACAGTGCAGAGGGGTTCCTTTTTATCCACAGCTCCTGGGCATTTTTCCAATTAAAATATCATTAATATGTCTCACGAATCTAGAGAAAACATCCATAAAATTCATCTGGAACCAGAAGAGAGCTAGAATAGCAAAAGCAATCCTAGGCAACGAAGGAAAGGCAGGAAGTATTACAATCCCTGACTTGAAATTATACTACAAAGCTACTGCAATAAAATTAGCATGGTACTAGCAAAATAGCATACCTGAGGATCAATGGAGCAGATTAGAAGACGCAGACACAACTACAAACATACTCAGCCATCCTATCTTTGACAAAGCAGCCAAACATGTTCACTGGAAGAAAGACAGCTTCTTTAATACATGATGCTGGAAAAATTAGCTTTCCAAACACCGAAGGCTACAATTAGGCCCGTGTTTATCACCATTCACTAAACTACAGTCAAAATAGACCAAAGATTTAAATATTAAAAGAGAAACACTAAATCTATTGGAGAAAAAAGTATGTAGAAATCTTGAAGACATAGGGGTAGGCAGAGTTCACAAAGACAAACAACTGCAAGGGAAACACTTCAAAGAAACAACAAATGGAATCTCAGCTTTTTGGAAAGTTTCTGCACATCAAAAGAAATCACCAACAGAGTAAAAAGAAAACCCACAATTTGGGAAAAAATTTTAGTTGACCGTTCCTTAGACAAATGACCATCTACAACATATAAAAAAAAAAAAAAAAAAAAAAAATCAGGCCCCCAAAATTCAAAGACCCAATTTTAAAAAGCAGGCACCTGGGATGAACACATACTTCTCAGATGAAGAAATACAAATGGTAAATAAATATATGAAAAATGTTTAACATCACTGGTCACTCGAGAAATGCAAATGAAAACAACACTGAGGAAGAACGGCTATCATTAGGAAGTCAGCCAGTAACAAATGCTGGAGGAGCTGCGGAGAAAAAGGAACCCTTCTGCACTGTTGGTAGGAATGCATTCTGGTACAACCACTATGGAAATCAGTGTGGAGATTCCTCAAAAAACTAGGATTGGAGGGGCTGGAGAGATGGCTCAGTGGTCTAAAGCACCTACTTAGAACGAGCTCGGCAAAGCATCGGGGACCGCGGTTCAATCCCCCAGCACCACATGCCAGCC